GGCCATCTGTCACCCACAGCTAAACCAGGGCATTATGCTAGATTCCTCCCCTTCCTGTACCCACCCATATTAATCCATGCTACTTCCTAAGTATTTCTTAAACCTGTCGTCTCCTCTTCATCCCTACCTCCTAGTAGGTCTCCCCAAATCCACTCTGTCCCCATTCATCTGCTCTCTGTACTGCAGCCAGAGTTGATCTTTCTAAGTGAAATCTGACCATGCTACCTCTCAACTTAAAACCATTCCGTGGCTCACCATCATCTCTCTCTAGTGTGACCTTCACTCTTATTTTAGGCACAGAACCCTTTTGCTCAAGGTAAAATTTTATTTTAGGGTTGCCACATACAAAACAGGAAATGGTAAGTCACTCTGTCAAAGGCAGAGAGGAAGTCTCAGAGCCCAGATTCTGTGCCTCCATCTCCCCTCATAGAAGGAGTTCCTTGGGGAACAGTTAGGACACCCCTGCTTTACAGTGTATCAGAACACCTGCTGCGTCCCTTGGCCACACCTCTTGTCTGCCCACTAGACAAGAACTCCTCATAGGCAGGACTGCTTTCTCACCCTTTGTGTATCCTCTGGACCCAAACAGCTAAGAATGGCCAGGGAGCCTCGAATCATGACACCCCTCCTGGCCTGTCTGACTTTGACTATGTACAGCCCACCATCCAGAACTCCCCTGGGGCCCTACCTTCTGAAAGGGCCCCATTTCCTAAATGCCATCCCGGTTTCTGCCCACATCTGACAATTACAAATTCATCACCTTGGACTGGATCTCCTGGATACCACAAGTACGTTTCCCAAGCCCCGTCTTTGAAATTGTTTCCATCTTGTCCGTGTTGTCCGTTTCCTCCTCTTTCTCCTACTCTGCTCCCCCCACCCCGTGGTCCTTGGAGGAAGGCTGTGCTCCCATCCAAGCCTGCCTGACTCAGCACCCTGCCTTACCTGTGGCATCCAGATGATTTTCTGGGTCCGAAAGAAGTGGTATATGGCTGAGAAGCGCTCATAGCCCCCTTTCAGGATACGGATGGGGTGGCGGGTGAGGTGGGTCATGGCTCTGCCACACTCAATGGCAGCTCCGCGCACCAGTTCTAAGAGTGGAGACCAAAGAAATAAATGTCCTCATTTGTCTACAGCTCCAGTGGATGGCCACTTATTCTGAAAAGCAATTATTTAGGAAGCTGGAGCAAATATAAAGATGAGTGTTACAATTAAAATGTAAAAAGCAACTTAAAACCAAGAAAGTTAATCTCTGTATGTA